TAGCCCAAGAGTTGGTGGTGGGTGGTGATGACTAGCTGCCTTCCTTCTAGTCTTACACTGCTAAATTAGGGATGACAAGCACAGATAGCTCTCGTGTAGCTTTGCATAAAATTCAAACAAACCTTTTACAACAACATTTCCATCCTAGTTGTCCTTTCCTGAACCCTTTCCAATAATTTGATGACATTCCTCACTTTATGAGACCAAGACTTAACACAGTACCCCAAATGTGGCTTGAGTATCAATCTGTACAATGAAATTATAACCACTTTAGACATTTATTGAATATTTTTGTTGATAGAACCTAAAATCCTGCCATTAGCAACAACAACTGCTTGGATGGCTTAATAAACTGATCAACCTGAACATCAAAATCATTTTCTTTCATAAAACTATTAAAAGTTATTCCCATCAACATTATACTTTGAATTATAATTTAAAAACTATATGCCATCTATTCTTCCAACTAAGCAAATGATCTAAACCCTTTTGTAAGGCAGTAGCATCATTCTCATAGCCAGCAACACCTAAGACCTTGTTATCATTAGCAAATGTAAGTAATTTATTGACTATTCCTTCATCAATGGTAATCGATGTAATTCAAAAACAGCAAGTATCCTAACACTCAGCTCTGAGGTATTTTCTTGGTTGGATGTTAAGTGATACATAAAAACACATTATTATTTTTTTTAGAATTATATCAGCTGTTTGTTCTAAGTGAACTTTTGTTCAGTAGGATATCTACCTCTTGATAAAGCTGTAATTTGAAATGTTGAGGAAATAAAGTTACACTGGACACTGATTGTTTCTCTTCTTCAAACATTTTTAGTGTTTAGGAAAAGCCAAGGTTCAAAATTTTACCCCAAGTCACCAGTCTTTTATGGCTTAAAGCTGAACAAACTTAAAGTAAAAAAAAACAACTTAAAATGCTAAAATTGGGTTTGGATGCCCCTAGTGAGCAAAACACAGATAACCCATTATGTAGCTTTTAGCTTAACAACAAACATAATTATGTACATAATTATTGGAATGATCAAAAGTAGTGATAATTGGAAACCCTAATTCCAATTAGTTGATTGTTTTTTTTTAACAATCGAATTACATGTATTTTACTTAATTGATTGTTAATACTTTTACTAATTTCCACCTTGTAGGGTGAGGTGATAAGTTGCTTGTATTGTTTTTTATTTTTGTCATTATGCTTCACTGTTTTCCCTCATCTTTGTTTTACACTTCTACCTGTTACTGAATTGTGGGCTGGGCTACTAACTTGCTTGTAGAGTTGTTGTGTTCCATCTCTTTCTTAGTTTTCATGAGTATACTGTTACTGGTTTGTACATTGTGAGCTGGATCTTAGGAGCTAATGACTGTACTTGTACTTATCTTTAACATATTTTACCATTTTGATGGTGTGTAAATAATTTGTATACTAAACTTTTTGTTTTGCACTACCTGACTGTAATGGTTTTGTTATGCTACATGAGAAACAACGTAAACAACTGTTGATTATTTTTTATGGTAGACCAATAACACTATTGTATGTCATTAGGTCATAATGGTTTTATTATGCTGGACCAAGAACATGTTAATTGCTGCTAATGGGTTTTTGTTAAATGCTACATTAGGAAACCAGTCAGGAACTGATAATAGCTTTCTTATGCTGAATCAAGAACATGTTTGAAGCCAATGATGGTTTTGTACCATATGCATTACCCAGAGGAAAATAGTGGAAAACAGTGTTTTAGGTATCTCTTGAGTGAACTGCCCATAAAGATAGTTTATAGGTATGTGTTGATCTTTATCAATTACTTCACTAAATGGGCTGGAGGAATTTATTGCAGATGAGTTGTATAACACTACCAAGGTCACCTGCATGGAAACCCCAATGAATTATTTCACTATTCAGTGAGATCATGTCCATCTTTTGAGGTCCAGATCCTTTACACAGTGCATCATCTAAAGTCATTGCAGTAGCAGTAATGATGACCTGTATGAGCAGTGATAATTTTGCATTTTTATGGGCACCATGAATTATCAGTTAGAAATTTCTGGAGAGCAAGTAAAACGCCCAAACGGAGCTTTATTGCTTTTCTGTCATGCAGTAAGATAAGTTGTAACCATCACAAACTATTGAAGGTGGTACTGATGTGTATAAAAGTTGGCATTTGTGTAGTCAGTTAAAAAATAATAATGATTTTTTTTTACCATTGTTATGGGGGGGGGGGGAGATCAGTTACTAGCATGCATATATTTAGTTGTCTGAAACCCTCTACTATGACATTCTTATCTTCATTTAGTGTTTGGCCTATCAAGTCACCAATGGTTTCATCAAGATTAATTTTTTGTATTGAATGTCTAACAATATCTAAGTTTTCTTTACAATTACCGAGATCCATACCGCCTTTTTGCACGTAACTCACGAGATGCACTACTGTTTCAACTACTCCACACAGTGGAAAATACTATGATTTATTCTTTTTTTTTTTAATTTGTGAAACAGCATTGTAAAAATATACACCCAAGAGTGTGGTGCACAATTGTACATAAAAATAGCACAAATTGTTTGAAGTATTATGGTATATGTGTTGCCTCAATGTTCCATCATTTTACTGTACTACTTTCATTTTGTTTTTTCTCATGAGCAAAATCCCATCTCAGAAATTAAAAAAAGGAAATCAGATTATTATTTTTCTCGGAAACATGAAATCCCACATTAGAAATGGAAAAAAAGAAGATGGAAATGCAAGTTTTTTTGTGTGTTTTTTTGGAAATCAAAATTTTGAAGTCAGCAGGATCATAAGATGAAAAATAGAATAATCCTGGCCTCATGCAGAAAATACAGGTTGTGTAACAGACAGATTCATGGAGGTGTAGAATTGTTGATTGAACACCGTACTCCCTCCATGACGTACCACTGTAATACTGTACCTCTGAATTATTACAATTCATGTCTCCATTGGTTATACTATCACAATATGCTTCTTTTAGCTGTCACCAGGAAAGGTTTTTGTTCAAGCAGACCTTGATGATCTTATAGAGCAGTTGCTATCTCATTTTATTATCCTGAAAGAATTAAAGATAATAGTGATTATACCTATTTCCGTGCCTTATATCAAGCATTTACTTCCAACAATCTTTCCATTTGTTCACTTTATCTCCCTCCTCCTTTTTCTTTGGGAAGTGGATAGTGACCCATGAGGCAGTGATAATTTTCCCATCACTTTGAGGGACATTAGTTGGGTTGATGTCATCCAACTTGCTTGCCACAGTGGAAGCTGGAGAAGGCCAACTATCCCTCCTTCATCTTTCTCACAGAGTTTGATCTGATTGTATGGTTTAGACAGCTTTACTTATCAGCCTTAAAACCTGAAACATCTTTTCAACAGTATTCTCACCCATTTGGACACCTGACAGCCATAGGGGAAAGGCAGACTCAGAAACAAGCCTGGGATATCTTTTGTAGATATTGCAATCTTACCAACCACATAGCCTTGCAGAAAGCTCTAACCTGTACCCAGCATATCAAGCATCAAAGTCAAAAGGAATGTTAGATTAAATTGACTTCCAGCATTTCTTCAACTACTAGTTATAAGATTCAAAAAATGAATGGGAAGCATACATCCTGCCCCCTTTCCATTGTACAGTCTAGTGGCAAAGAGGTGTCTGGTTTACAGGAAATTGTCAACAAACTTGGACAGTGCTTTTAGCACCTTCACCTGTTCTTCTGCATTCTTGGCTGAAAGAATGCCACCTTCCTTTTTTTTTTGTCTGATTGTCTTTTTACTATAACTGACCATTGTAATAGAACTTAAATTTGCTCTACTTCAGTTGGGCTGCATGACATCCACTACACAATGTTTTACAAACTTCTTGGTTTTTTGTAACCAGACTTGGTTCCATTTATGGAACAAGGGTACTGACTATTTTTTTCTAAGTCTGGGAAAGTTCTCAAGGTTCCTTCTAGTTGTAGACTTATTGCCTTGACTAATTTTCAATGTAAGGTGTTGGAGAGGATGGTTAATGCTTGTTCTGTTTGGTTCCTAGAATCAAACCATATCTTTTCTAACACCCAGCATTTCCTGTTTTACATCACATATTTAATATACCAACTAATAAGGTAGGTTGCAGTAAATTCAGTCTCTTCCAACTCATACTTATGTGTTGGTTCAGGTTAATTCTACAGTTTGGGTATGTGAATTATAACATTTACATGCATTCTCAATTTATATTATGTATGAGCCTAAATGATATACATGTAACACTATTGTTTATGTACAGTTATAAAGTACTTAAATTCTTGTTTTTATTTCTTATGCAGAAATGGGGGTTCAAGTGACAGGGCAGGCCGACTGTTCTGACAACGGAAAGAAAGAGAATGGTATTCATGTATGTTGATGTTTGTTTTAGAACCTAAGGAAAATACTTACAAATTAATTTTACTTTCCTGAGCACAGTGTAGTATGTTATCAAGCTTGAAAGAAGTTTAGGTACAGTATAAAAGTAAAATTAGTTTGTTACAATAATACATTGCTAAAAAGAAAAATCAGATAATTAGTAAATTGTGCTTTTAAATCTTAGAACCTTTTCTGAAGTACCTTATTACTAATATTGAATATATGTAAAGATATTATAATCCAGGTAGCTGGTACAAACTACCAGTGATGGTGCTAGACTTACTGTAACTCCATCTTTTTTATTCTATTTTTGTTACTTAACCCTTTCACCGCAGCTGGGATGTATAATTTCCTGCTTCACTGGAAAATATACGTCCCAGCTGCAGTGAATGGGTTAAGAATTATCGCCATCTTTTAGAAAGATAGGTATATGGTAAGAGGTAATCGTAACTGTACAATTAGACTATTAAATAATTTATAATTTTCTACATCTTCAGCATTTCAGTTTGTAACTTCATGTCAAATGGTTTACTGAAATGTTTTTGCATTGTTGATAACTGCTGTGAATTAATATCTTTGCTGTTAGATTGCATTTTTAAACTAGTTAAAAGTTGTGTACTTTCAAAATTACTTACATTAACATATGTTTACATACATTTACTGATATATACTTATTTCGTCATTAACATAATATTTTATAGAGTCCAACTGAAAGAGTTTTGTCTCCCAGAAAACAAAAACTTCTTAGTTGGTTGAACAAAAATATGAAGATTGAAATGACTGATGGCAGGATTTTAGTTGGGATTTTTTTGTGCACTGATCGAGACAGAAATGTTATCCTTGGTTCGTGCTCTGAATATTTGAAATCAAAAGGTACGTTAAACAACTGTGTCTGGAATAATTCAAGTGTACATTTGATTTTGGATTTGTACATTTATCACAAATGACTGTCTTTAGCAAATAAATTTTAAGTATAATCTATTGATGAATTACTAATTCATAGGAAGTAATTACTATGTAAAAATTTTTTGCATTCCTTGTTTTCCAAACACATTGACATATACCTGTTATATTTTTGATTAAATTCATGCAACCATCTTTGAGAGTTTCCAAAGCTCACTGGATTCTACCATAAGGGACCCCAGCATGAAAATTTGGAAAATATAAAGATGATAATTTTCATGATCCTTTACATGTTAATCTTTGCATAAATCCAGAGACCCATTCCCAAGCAACTCCTTTGGCCCCAAAATGGGCTTGAACTTGAAAAACTTCCAAAGTATGAATTTAGATTGTTTTAAATGTCACTGTGCATATTAATACTAACTTCTGTGTAAATTATTTAAGTCAGATTATTGAAAACCTCTTGACCTTCATTTATAGGTTCCCTCATGACTATAGACAATAGCTTATGTTTATACTCGGTGAAGGTAAAAAGTTTACACCCAAACTTCAAGTCATTTTGTAAAAAACTGTGAGGTATAGATGACATTATACAGAGGACTACATAGGTGCAGGTGAGACTACAGATGACATTATATAGAAGACTACATAGGTACAGGTGAGACTACAGAAGACTACATAGGTACAGGTGAGACTACAGATGACATTATACAGAAGACTACATAGGTACAGGTGAGACTACAGATGACATTATACAGGTGACTATATAGATACAGGTGAGACTACAGATGACATTATACAGAAGACTACATAGGTACAGGTGAGACTACAGATGACATTATACAGTAGGTACTGAAAATACAGATGACTACATAGTTACAAATGATACTATACAGATGGTTACATAGGTACAGGTGAGACGACAGATGCCTACATACAGTAGGTACAAGTGACACTATACTGATAATTACGTATTGTAGATACAGGTGAGACTATAGGGATATGCCCTCATTTGTATAATAAATCTCACCTTTACTTATGTGTCTACCGTATGTAGTTATCGAGTCTCACCTGTATCTATGTATTCATCTGTAGTCTCACCTGTACCTATGTAGTCATCTGTATATTTAGTACCTACTGTATGATGTAGTTGTCTGTTGTCTCCCCTGTATCTATATAGCCATCTGTATAGTAAGCCTCACCTATGCCTTGTGCTAATCGCAAAACAAGCTGCCAGCCAGCTAGAGATACCCCTATGTTAGTATAACAAACTATCACTCAGTTACAGATATCCATGTTTGTACAATAACAAACTACCACTCAGCTAGATACCCCTGTGTTAGTATAATAACAAACTACCACTCAGCTAGATACCCCTGTGTTAGTATAATAACAAACTACCACTCAGCTAGATACCCCTGTGTTAGTATAATAACAAACTACCACTCAACTATAGATACCTCTGTGTTAGTATAATAACAAACTACCACTCAACTATAGATACCTCTGTGTTAGTATAATAACAAACTACCACTCAACTACTGATACCCGTGTTAGTATAATAACAAACTACCACTCAACTACAGATACCCGTGTTAGTATAACAAACTACTACTCAACTATAGATACCCCTGTGTTAGTATAATAACAAACTACCACTCAGCTACAGATACCCCTGTGTTAGTATAATAACAAACTACCACTCAACTATAGATACCTCTGTTAGTATAATAACAAACTACTACTCAGCTACAGATACCCCTGTGTTAGTATAATAACAAACTACTACTCAGCTACAGATACCCCTGTGTTAATATAATAACAAACTACCACTCAACTATAGATACCTCTGAGTTAGTATAACAAACTACAACTCAACTACAGATACCCCTGTGTTAGTATAATAACAAACTACTACTCAGCTACAGATACCCGTGTTAGTATAATAACAAGCTACCACTCAACTATAGATACCCCTGTGTTAGTATAATAACAAACTACCACTCAACTACAGATACCCCTATGTTAGTATAACAAACTACCACTCAACTACAGATACCCCTGTGTTAGTATAATAACAAGCTACTACTCAGCTACAGATACCCGTGTTAGTATAATAACAAACTACCACTCAACTATAGATACCCCTGTGTTAGTATAATAACAAACTACCATTCAACTACAGATACCCCTGTGTTAGTATAACAAACTACCACTCAACTACAGATACCCCTGTGTTAGTATAATAACAAACTACCACTCAACTACAGATACCCCTGTGTTAGTATAATAACAAACTACCACTCAACTATAGATACCCCTATGTTAGTATAATAACAAACTACCACTCAACTACTGATACCCGGTTAGTATAATAACAAACTACCACTCAACTACAGATACCCCTGTGTTAGTATAATAACAAACTACCACTCAACTACTGATACCCAGTTAGTATAATAACAAACTACCACTCAACTACAGATACCCCTATGTTAGTATAATAACAAACTACCACTCAACTATAGATACCCGTGTTAGTATAATAACAAACTACCACTCAACTATAGATACCCCTGTGTTAGTATAATAACAAACTACAACTCAACTATAGATACCCCTGAGTTAGTATAATAACAAACTACCACTCAACTACAGATACCCCTGTGTTAGTATAATAACAAACTACCACTCAACTATAGATACCCCTGTGTTAGTATAATAACAAACTACCACTCAACTACAGATACCCCTGTGTTAGTATAACAAACTACCACTCAACTACAGATACCCCTGTGTTAGTATAATAACAAACTACCACTCAACTACAGACACCCCTGTGTTAGTATAACAAACTACCACTCAACTACAGACACCCCTGTGTTAGTATAACAAACTACCACTCAACTACAGATACCCCTGTGTTAGTATAATAACAAACTACCACTCAACTACAGATACCCCTGTGTTAGTATAATAACAAACTACCACTCAACTACAGACACCCCTGTGTTAGTATAACAAACTACCACTCAACTACAGATACCTCTGTTCCATGTTTTAGTATCAAAATAATCTAGTCTTTTACAGTCTTTTTACAGTCTTTGTGTTAATTTCAGAACCAACTACCAGTCAGCTGGAGATTCACATCGTCCTTGTGCAAGAAGTCTGTTCATATTTTTGTTCCATTTTTTCAAGAGCAAATATTAATAATTTATTCTTACCAATTATTAGGCTTAACATTTATAATTGTTTCAAAACTTTAGCATGGAAGTAAATATAACTGTGATTTATCATTATCTAGTACTGGTTGAACTTTTTAAAAACTAGTCCCCATTTTGAATTTGTCAGACGTATATTTAAGCACAGTTGGAGTAGGAGTTTTATGTATTTACTTTTGTGTAAGTTTTAGTTCTGAAATTTTTTTTTTACAGATGAAGATCCTAGGGTTCTTGGGTTAGCTATGGTTCCTGGACATCATATCATTTCAATACATGTGGATGAAAGTCCACCTCCCGGCTCAGCCCAAGAAATATGATTACCAGTAGTAAATTATCATATCTTGTTGGATCATAACAAGTATTAAATATTAAACTGACTTACATTTTATGTAGTGTTGGGTTTGTTTATTGAAATTCCTGTATTCTTGCTTTTCTGGAAATCACAAGTTTAATTCTTTGACCCAGTGTTTTGTTTTGAGTGTTTTCTAAATTCAGATTCACAAGAAAACTTCAGTCTGTCTACTAAAAATTTTTTTAATTTAGTGTGCATGATCAGAAATACTTAGATGTATATTTACTTTTAGTCCTACAGAAACAGTTATTAAAATTCTAAAAGTTATTTTACTATTCCCCAATCTAGGCAGTTTGGTAAATTAATTATAGGTTAGATCTATTGTTAAGAACATTAGTTTTATTGCCTGAAATCTTGAATTTTTCTATGAAAACACCCATTTACATAAAAGAGCATTTCAAGTTAAAAATACACATTAGTTCAATAAGAAGAGTGTATCTGTAGTACAGGGTGATCCAAAATTATCTTTCCTATTTCAAAATTTAATAATTAAATAAGTAAGGAAACACAACCATGCAGTTTTCAACATCTTGTAGCCCAACTGAAATACTTTTTATTGTTTTGTTTTTCACTCTAGTACATAGTCGTACCTGTAAAATGGCAACTGTGCAAGAAAATGCTCGATGTTTCATTTGGCTCGCAGAGATCAAGTCGGCGACTGTGGTGCAGCATAATTACAGAAGCTAGACGTGCTGAGAGTCACTAATGGTGCACTCATAGGAGTCTATTGACAAGTTAATAAAAGCTGTTTAAGTTGGGTTATAAGATGTTGAAAACTGCTTGGTTTTATTTCCTTAGTTAATTATTAAATTTTAAAAGACGAAAGATAATTTTGGAATTATACACTATATACACTACAATTAATTTTAATAAAACATTCACAAGTTTCCATGTATATTAGAAGTAGATATCAAGTTGTATAAACTTCACTTCTTTTTGGACAGCCACACTGAGAATGTATTTCTGGTGAAAAAAGATTAAAACATTCTTCTGATCTTCCATCATTTCATAGCTTGTATGCATGAAGTAAATTAGAATAAACAATAATCTGACTTTCTTACAAATAATTACAGGTACTCCGTTTTCATTTCATTTCACTAATATATTCTTGGTTGCCAACTTTGGAGTTACATATCATACATAATGAACTATTTCAAAGATGTATCTATTCATGGTGGGCCCGGCATGGCCAGGTGGTTAGGGTACTCGACTCGCAATCTGCGGGTCGCGGGTTCGAATCCCCGTCAC